CACAGGGGTCACCTGATTCATAACAGTAGCAAAATGACAGTTATGAAGTAGCAACGAAAATAATTTTATGGTTGGGGGTCACCACAACACAAGGAACCGTATTAAAGGGTTACAGCATTAGGAAGGTTGAGCCACAGTTGTTAAAACAGCATGGTACTGGTATAATGATAGATATTGGATCCATGGATAAGAACAGAAAATGCAGAAATAAAAACAGCAGAATACTGACAACTGATCTTTGATAGGCTCCCCCCCCCCCAATCAAATGGGAAGCAGATGCCCTTTTAACAAATGGTTCTAGAAAAACTGGATATCAACCTGCAGGAGAATGAAGCAAGACCCTTACCTCACCCCATGCACAAGACAAATTCAAGGTGGATCACAGACCTAAAGGTAAAACCCAAAAATTTGGGGCAAAGATAAGAACCTTAGTTGCAGGGATTCATGGACTATTAGAAATAAGGAAGGATCCACACCCAGAGGAAGATAAAATAAAGGGGTGGGACAGAACTAAAGATAAACCACTGTGTACACTGAAAGATTTCAACAAGAAAATATATTTAGTAATGACATATCAGACAAAGGGCTTTATTACTAAAATCTACAGAATCCTGCAAGCTTACAAGAAAAAAATGAACAGCCCACTGAGGAGGTGGTCAAAAGCCTTAAACAGAAGATTCACAAAGGAGAAAGAGTTCACAATCATTATTCATTCGGGAAAGGCAAATCAAAATAACTAGGAGATACCATCTAACACCCACAAAGATAGCCCAACTAAAAAAAAAAGCAACAAATGTTGGAGTAAGTGTGGTGAGATGGGAACTCTCATTCACTGCTGGTGGACTTGTAGATACGTACAGTCACTGTGGAAAGCTATACCTAAAACAAATGGAAATTGAGTTACCTTACAACCCAGCAATACCACTACTGGGCACATACCCAGAAGAAATAAGAAACAGACCATGACCAGACATCTGCTCTCCACTGTTCATCATTGTGCAGTTCACAATCGCAAAAACTTGGAAACAGCATAATTTCCATTAATAGACGAATGGATTTTAAAACTCTGGTATATACACACATACCGGAATACTATGCATCCCTGAAAAATAGTGATGAAACACCTCATCTTGTGGAAAGAGTTGGAAGATACTGTGATGACTGAAGTTAGCCAGAAGTACAACATGAGTCCACTTAGGTAAGTTCGAACAACAGAATAGGCATAAGGGGAAATGCACAAACACACAATTCCCGGGTTGAGGACCAGATACTCTGGCATGAGCCAGACCAAACCCAATGATTCATACGTCATCAGAAAAAGATTCAGACAGCTCCTGGGCTGAAAGGCATCTTCCCCACCTCCTCTCATATTAATAAGGCTCACAAAGGGGTAGGGGAAGAAAAATGACAGCACAAAAGGGGGGGGGCGGTCAGGGCACTAACCCACCCAAGGGGAGGCTATTGCTTATCTCCCCACAGGAAAGGAAGAGAGAGTGAGAGAACGTGCCAATTCTTGAGGGCAGCATTCCTACACGGCGCAGCCTGTTCCCAGAAATGACTGCAGGGCTGGCCTCAGCTCGAGACAGGCTGTCCTCTCCCTAGATGACAGTGCTAGAGAGGACAGCCCTGTATTGGCCTTGAAGATACATTTTAGGGAGAGAGCCAGTCTGGCCCACTCACATGGGGGCAAACCACAAGGGATGTGCAACACACTAGGATGGGAGCAAAGCCACGACGTCCCTGAGGAATCCCGATTGCAGACTTCTGACTGGGGGTGGGGGGCTGGGGGCGGCACTTAGCACCTCATCTAAACTGATTGGGGGTTACTCACAAGAGGACCACACTGAACGTCTAAAGGTGGAAGGGTGTGGTGCCAGACGGCTCCATCCTTGACTACAGGAAAAGCATCAGGGATTTTTAGGAAACATGCCTTTCAGATACAAATGATGAAGATCAAAAGGGTGTAAGGGTTATTAGGGAAACGGGTCCCAGGATATGGAACCTTGAAAGTAAAGGGGGCTGGACTGATGGACGGTTACATGTCCTTCTTGCTTTTTAACAGAGAGACATTCATCTGCTCTGTGTCAGGATCCCTGTTAGACTGGGGACTATTTGTATGGGTTTTTTTTTTGTTGGTGGTATTTATACAAGATAGGCAGGATAGGCGATCCTATGGACAGTTCTTGGGGGCCATTGGAGGGGAGGAAGCTGGGGGAGGTGAGCAGTGAGCCAGTAAGGGTGAGGACAGGGGAACAGTAAGGGTTCCAAAACGGATGGTGAGGAGGGTGCAGCTTTTCTGGTCGTGTTTGATCAAACAAATTGTGTCTGAGGTATTTCTGAGAGGGGAACAATGGGTAAACATGGGGCAGGAGGAAAGAAAAAAGAGGAAATAATCAGAAAAAAAAATCCCCATATATTTAGGTACATATACCTATATGTAAATATATAAACATAGGTGTATACAACAAAGAAGCAGATGAACTCTGGGCCTCTACTTAAACCTTACCTAAGTACAAGAACAGTTTGTTCTAACAATGTGGCATTGTATGATGCTCACCTTCCCAACAACACAATTGCTGAGGACAAAATGGGTGCATAAGCAAATGCGCTGAAGAAAATTGATGATTCCCGGCTATTAAGAGATACAGCATATGTGGTCTTAAAGGCTTAAAATTAAACAAGTGGCCATCTAGCAGGGAAGCAACAAAGCCATCCCTTCACAGAAGGGTCACAAGGAAGGGACGAGCCAGCCAGTGCGCAGTATAGCACCGATGAAACACACAACTTTCCTCTGGTTCTTTAATGCTTCCGTCCCCCAGGCACCCCCCCCACCCCCACCCCGATTATCATGACCCCAGTTCTACCTTACAAATCTGGCTAGGCTAGAGCATGCACACTGGTACAGGTAAGAGTTCTCGACACACAGATTTCAGGACATATAAACCCCTCAGGAACAATAAGAGTAGCAATACCATGAAGGTATGGGGAAGTGGGGGTGGGGGGGGAACCGGGTGGAGAAAGTGAGAACCGACCAACCAAAATGATCGACATATAATAACCCCACCCCATCCCCCAGGGTACGAACAACAGAAATGTGGACACTTATAAATATAGGCTTGGGCAAAGGGGGATGGTGGATGGTGTAAGATATGAAAATAGTAATAGTTTATCATTTAGCAAGGGTTCACGAAGGTGGGAGGGTGGGAGAGGGAGGGAAAAAAGAGGAGTTGATACCAAGAGCTTAAGTAGAAAGAAAATGTTTTGAAAAGGATGATGGCAACATATGTACAAATGTGCTTGACACAATGGATGTGTGTATTGATATAAGACTTGTAAGAGCCCCCAATAAAATGATTTATCAGAAAAGAAAAAGAGGAATAAGAAAAAGATATATGTACATATATAGAGATATGTACATATGTAAATATATATAAACATAGGTGCATAAGCAAATGTGGTGAAGAAAACTGATAGTGCCCAGCTATTAAAAGATATAGCATCTGGGGTCTTAAAGGCCTGCTGTTAAACAAGCCATCTAGCAGGGAAGCATCAGAGCACACATGGAAGAAGCACACCAGTCTGTGTGATCATGAGGTGTTGATGGGATCAGGTATCAGGCATCAAAGACCCAGAACAAAACACCATGTCAAAAGGGGGGTTAGGGGGAGTGTGGAGTGGAAACCCCCCAAAACAAATACTTTTAAAGTTTATAAAACGGGAAATTTTAAACACTGACTGGACATTGAAAGGTACTAAGGATCTGACATTAAATCATTTGAAAGGAGTGATAATGGTAATATGGTTATGTTTATAAAGCATTTTAATTTTTTAAAGATGTACACTAAAATATTTATGAATAAAGATCATGATATTGGGGAACTATTTCAAAATACAAGGGAGAGTTGGTGGAGATGTAGTAAAAAGCAAGATGAGCCACAAGTAATTTCCTGGGGGATGGTACAAAGGAATTCATAGCAGTTTCTTTATTTTATACTGCTTGGAATTTTCTACTAAAAACGCTGGACTTATTGGACACCGAGCTTCTGTTTAATGGTGAAAGGAAAATTAGAAATGGCATCAAGATTAAAGAAAGACTCATTTAAAACCTTTGATGTGCATGTCTACTACCTTGCTTGACCAAAGTGATTATAGAGAGAGACTGCAGAACCTATTGATGAAGGTCCAAACTTACAGCCTTTCGTATGGATAACACCTCCACATAAAAACAAAACAACAAACGAAATTCCTCATGACTGGACCAATAGACAGCACTCATGATTAATGGAGAAGAGACTGATGCTGTCAAGGAGTTCATTTTACTTAGATCCACAATCAATACTCATGGAAGGAGCAGCTAAGAAATCAAACAACCTATTGCACTGGGTCAATATGGTGCACTCAGCATCTTTAAAATGCTAGGTAGCAAAGATGTCACTGAATTATAATCAATTAACATGACCCTTCCAGCCTTACTTCCTTGTGTGATCCAATTCTGGACTTTATATGCCTGTGACAATAGGCCCACTAGGAAGGCATTCTGTACTAATGAACCAAATAGAAGGAGAACAAGACCTGACCTTAGTAAAGGGTATGACCCGGGACACATTCTGTTTCCTTCATGCCATCTTTAGGAACTGGGCATGAACCAGGCCACACAGTTAGGATATGTGCCCTACACAATGCCACATACTCATCGCTTCATCTGGAAGCCTGAGCTTGATTTCCTGACTGAGCTGTGGCAGAAGCAAGAGGCCTGCTGTGACTTCTGGACGCGGCCGGCTTCTGGCCTGCAATTCTCTTCCTGACCTTTGGACTGAACAGCACCCACCACCACAGGAGACATTTCTTCCAACTTTTGTTGAGTTTCCGTGGGATGTTGCAGTGATTCTCAGAACCCAGAGACGTGCGAGAACACCCTCAAGGGAGGAGGAGGCAAAGAAAGAGCTGATGCTCTTGAAAGAGTTGGACTTTGGGGACATAGTTCATCTCCAGCTCCTTGAGACTAGGCTGGTATTAATTCTTCTAAAACAAATTATTACCACAGTCACTTTGAGTGCTAAGGTGCACCTAGCTCAAGCCATCATAAAGCTGGACAGTGAATAAGGAAGACCAAAGAAGAATCGATGCCTTTGAACTATGGTGCTGGCAAAGAATACTGAATATACCACGGACTGAGAGAAAAACAAATCTGTCTTGAAGAAGTACAGCCAGAATGCTCCTTAGAAGCAAGGATGGGCAGAGTTAATCTCATGTGCTTTGGACATGTCACAGGAAAGGCCAAACCCTGGATGCCAAGCTGGACGAAGCAGTGGGTCAGCAGAGAGGAAGCCATTCAATGAGAGAGACTGACCCCAGGGGCTGCAGCACGGGGTTCAAGCGCAGACGTGACTGAGAATGGTGTGGGTTTGTGGAGCTTTACGTGGTTGTACACAGGGTCACAAAGAGCGGGACTCAACGGCAGCCAACAATCAAAACAAATCCTTATGGAGACAAGATAGCACATCTTCCTTCCGAGGAGGGGCTGGTGGGTCCAGAGTGCCAACCTTCCAGTGGCACCTGAGCACATAACCACTGCGCTATCATGAGCTCCTGTAACAGGGATATCCAACTCTTTTTTGAACTTGAGCTGGCTGCCTCCTTCAAGCCTTGTAAATGAGAAAGAAGGGAGGAGCAGGGTGGGGCTGACAGTGACATCATTGGGGATCACAGTGAGATGAGGGCTAACCTTGTAAACACTGGCGATGGATCCAAATCAAAACTGATATCCTGAAAAGGCCTATCAGAAACTCGGAACTATGATGGAGAGCCCTTCCCAGTGAACCTGTTCCAAAATGATAAGATTCAATTTTCTATAAATAGATTATACAGAGTCATTCCTTAAAAACATAGGTTCTGCCTCTGTTCAAACTCCCCTCACTGAACCGAGTCTGAGACTAAATCTTGAGACAGTCTGAGAGCCATCACAGTATAGCTGCTCCCAGACGCCCCCTTTCTCTCCTGCTTCCCTCACCTTCACACACACACACCCTGCCACCCACCCAGGCTTTTCATCCCCCACCCCCACCCCAGTCTCAGAGCTCCTGGCCTATTTCTCCTGAGAGCCCCTCCAGGCCTTCCCCTTATACCTCCCACAGGGAATGCTCTGCTCAGGAGGGTCTTCAGGCTCAACCCCTGAGCTCCTGCAGGTCTTTGGTCACCTCTTCAGTGAGGCTGTGACATCCCACCCTGCAACTCCCCAGGCCCCGATCCTGGAGACCGATTTGTTTTTCTGTAGAAGCACTGAATACCTTTCAGTCTCTATAATCTACTCATTCTGATCTCCTCTAACTCTGCTCGCTTCCCTCCACTAAAACAAAGTCCCACAGGGCAGGGATCTGTAGGTTCCCCAGGAGACAGCCTGGTCCATAGGAGGCCGCCCACCACTGGTGGTGAGTGGATGCCTGAAGTGCTCAATGGAAAGGCAGGAACAGGTCATTCAGAAATGCCTCTGGACGTGTTACACTTGGACTGCAGACACAATGACCAAACATGGATAAAGGCACAGATTCAGTTCTGAGTATTTTAAGAGATACTTTGTGTCAGTGTTGCTGTGGAGATGTGGGAACCCATGTTCACTGCTGGTGGGAGTTCACATGGTGCCTGACCCTTGGCAGCTCCTCAGAATGCTTAAGCACACAGTTACTATACACCAAAACCCAAACTCACTGCCAGCAAGTCAATACTGACTCATAGCGACCCTACTGGGCAGAGGAGGGCTGCCCCTGTGAGTTTCCGAGATGGTAACGGTGTATGGGAGTAGAAAGCCCTGTCTTTCTTCCAAGGAGCGGCTGATGATTTCAAATCGCTGACCTTGTGGATTGCAGCCCAACGCATACCCACTAAACTACCAGGGCATGTAACTTGGCAATTCCACTTGCAGGTTATAGGCTCAAGAGCAATGCAAACATCTGTCCACCCACGTGTTCACAGCAGCAGGATTCATAACCACTGAGAAGTGAGAACAGCCCAAACACCTGCCAGCTGATAAATGCAGCAATAAAATGTGAACTGTCCATTTTATCTGACAATGAAAGAAGAGTGACACACTCATACGTACTGTAGCAGGGATGAACCTTGAACTGTTACACTAAGTGGAAGAAGCCAGTTATGAAAGACGACATACAACTCCATTTCTAGGACATGTCCAGAGTACGACTACCTATAGCAACAGAAGTGAATTTCAGGTTGCCAAGGGCTGAAGGGGAGGGGGACTAGGAAGAAATGAGTGGCTGCTATTGGGCACAGGCTTCCTAATGGGGACAATGAACATATACTACACTGTCAGTGGCTGCTCTGCTCCATGACTATACTGTGAAACACTGCGTATTTGAACCGCGTGGCTGTCAATCGCACTCGATAAAGCTGTGGAGCAGGAAGCGCGGAGCTGAAGGCTTACCTTTCGCAGACCTTGTAACCTTGGTTGACGCTGACAGCTTTGTACTTCAGGCAGCCTTTGGTCCGCTCCAGCTCCCAGCACCAGTCCTTAAGGGTGTCAAACATGACAGTGTGGTTTTGGGGATCCGAGGCTAAGGAAACACAAGGACAAAGACAGCTGTGAGTATTAATGATGCAGAGGTGATCCTTAAGGCCCCAGTTTCCTCCGTCAAGCCTAATTTTAGCCAAGCAGAACGAACTCATTGCTTTGTACTAACTTTGTTCTTTTTCCCCTTATTACATCAAAATTGTGACTACAGCGCAATCTTTTCCTCTGGAGGAAAGAAAGAAGCTGCCCTTGTTCCATTCCTTGCAAAAGCCATCTGTAGTGTGCTACAGTTTTCTGGCCAGGAGACAGTTTCTGAATACAGAAAAGATCCCGTGAAGCGCTGGAAGACAGTTTGGCACAAATGCTAAAACAGCTGAGTATTTTTAGCTCTACCAATATGTGCATAAGCCAGCAAATTTATCTAGATAGCACATCAGGTTTGAAACGCTCTTTTGATTTGAAGATGCACCGCCAGCCCAGGGTTTTCCAGTGTGACACGTGGAGACTCAAGGTCATAAATAATGCAGACAGCGGTGGTCAGGGTCAGCTTGCTGTGGGGCTGCTGCCTGGTGACAGGTGCTCTTGTGCCTAGCATGGCCCAGCCACTGCCTGCTGGGAGCAAGCACTCTGCACCCAGCAGGCTGCCCTTGCTTGGTCCTCTGCCTGCTGGGGCTGCCAGGCACCGAAATCCACTTGGAGAGCTACACACACTGGGTCCCTAGTCAGCACATGCCTCTGCACTCAACACCGAGCGTTCTGCAGTGGAAACAATGTGTTTGAGAAAACTCCCACCTGCTCCAGTTCACAGCACAGATGATGATTATGCAACTCAACACTCACTGCCATGGCGTCCATTCGACTCGGT